TATATTAATTTAATATCAATTGGTTCAATAATGATCTAACCATAGTTGAGTCAATAAACTATAAATTAATAGTTAATCCAATTTAATAATCAATTTAATTTTTAAAACTTTGCACTTATTCAACACAGAATATGTAAATGTCAAATCTAGGATACACAAGTACAAAAACGCACCTAATTTTGCCAAACTAGAACATATCAAAAATTATAATTACATAAATAGATAAAAAAAAAGGAAAAAAAAAACACCAAAGGACAAAGCCTGCAATTATTGCTTTCTGAAATCAATCCCAGGACACAAAATTTAACACCAGACTCTTTGCTTGCTTCTGTCAGTCTCTGTACAAGCCAACTTGGGATTTTTGGCTCTCTAGCTACTTCTTTTGTGAAAATCGTACATCAATTTTGTTAGTACATCACTCAATATCCTAAAAAACTTGAGATACTATTATTTTCAACCTAAATTATTGTACTTCCTCTTACATTGGATCTTTAGTACTAATAATGGCCTTACAAGACATGTACCTTGAAAATGTTTTTAATTTTTTTAATTCAATGTGATTGCATATTATAAAATTTAAACTTAAAATCTCATAATAAATTGATTAAACTTTCTTGACTAGTTAGACCAAACGCTCCTCAATGAAATCCATTCGTTATACGTTACCAGTAAAACAATTCATACTGAACCAAAAAATTTAGCAATCCATCTAATCATCTTTTTTTTGGAATAATGATAAAGAAAACATATACCTAGCACAATGTCAATAACCATTGAAGTAAAGTTAATTGAATACACTATCAAGGTCATCTTTTGCCAATTTAATTAGAAAAGTTCTTGTTCAATTCCATAATCAATTAGAAAATTTCTTTTCAGGAGTTAATAAAAAAAAATTTTTGGTCTTTGAACTTTTTTTAATTATCGATTCAGTTCTTAAATTTTAATTAAGAATAACTTAATCTTTGAAGTCTCTTAACTCAAAATAATTCAATCATTATAGTTTCTTAATTTGATCCAACAATTAATCCAGATTTCTTAACTCAATAGACCATAAGAACTAAGTTGTACTATTGAGTTAAAATTTGAAAACTAAATTGATAATTAAATGGAAATTTAGGGAATGAAAATTAAATTATCTCTAACAAACATACTATATATCAATCTTTTAAACAACAAACTTGTCTCATTTTGCATTTTAATCCCTTCCATTCTTTCAATTCGCTTCATCTGGTATATCTCATCTAAAAAAAAAAAAAAAACCCTCTGCACATGTATTCAACTTTTATGCTGTTCCTTTCTCAGGCTTCAAGAATTAATGTTTTAGGGTGACTTTTATAAACATGTTGAAAGACCTTATCAATTAATCAACAAGTATAATCAACCAGTAAAAAAGACTAGGAATTTACCTTCAAGGCCAAATTTCAGTTTTTCCCTTTATAGTCAAACATTGTCTTCACAGCATTTAACAAATTGTTCGTCCCCATTTGGTGGCATATTTAGCCTCTTATATCTTGCTTTTTTAACCTTCTTCTCGAGCTTCAAACAAGAAATAATCAAGTCATGAAAGAAAAAATTTAATCACAGTTAAGTTCTTGATAAAAATTTTAATAAATAATTTACAAATATCAATTTAAATAATTGTAAGTTCAAGATTTCTAATTGCAAATAAAACCATTAACTTCTAAGTGTAATCCTTAATTCATATTTGAGATTACTGTTAACAACCATTTGAATCAATTATTGTAACTCAACTTTCAGAAAATGTTGTCCAAGACCCAATTATCTTTAATTTAATCTTTTGAGACTTTACTATCATTCTTTTAAAAAATAATGAAAGAAGAGGTGTGGCTTGCAGATTTGACTAAGGAATCAAAAGTGTGATCATAACATCACTAGTACACTTAATCTCATCAGAACTCCACAATTAAACCTACTTGTGCAACAGTAGTACTAAGATTGATGGCATCTTGGGAATTCCTCACAAATCTTTTAAACACCACCCTTTGCTATTGTTCAAGGTGGAAAAAGATGAAGGATTCTTTTGTATGTTAGGTCTTGTAACATTTGATTTTAGAATATAGTAGTTGTCATTTTAAACTCAAAAAAAAAAATATGGGTAATGAAAAGAGTTTTGAGAGACTTGCATTGATGAGTTGGGAACAATGGAAAATGGAGAGTAATATCAAGCACAAACCCAGAGGAGAGAAATCTTGTGGAGGAAATCCCCCAAAAAGAGAGAATGATAGGTAAGTTTCAAGTTTTAAAAATTTACAAAGCTTGTCCCAATTTTAATAGGAAAAGCTTGCAAATTTCTAAAATTTAATATTTAAAATTTAATTTAAATTAATTGATGACCTATCTGTTATTCTCCTATCATGGCAAATGAACTTCATAAGTTAATTTCAATTAAGAATCATTAGACCTCAACAAAATTTCAGCGTTCTTCCAAGAGCTGAAGTGTCAAAATGTGTCTTCCAAGGGACTTAAAGTAAAATTCTTCGAACTATATAATTTAGCTCATAGAAAAACTAGTTTATTGGCGTCATTGCACACAAACAAAAAACAAACATTCATTAGAAGAATGATTGTAAAACCTCAAAAGATTACATTAATAATTATTTAATTTTTGATATTTTTTTTGAAAAATAAATTATAAACATTGATTCAAATAGTTATAATCATAAATCTTAATTACAAATTAAAAGAATTACAATTTAAATTTAAATATCTTATTTATGATTGAAATTTTTAAATTTACAACTATTTAAATCAATGTGTAATCCAACTTTTAGAAAATTTTATTATAAATCAACTGTGTTATTAATTCTTTTTTTAATACTTAACAATCATTTTGCCCACTTGACTGATTAAAAAAAAAAAAAACTAGCAGAGTCTACCCAAGTATTGAAATGATCAGTGGATGAATGTATATTCAAAATTCAAGCCAGAAGGGTATCAAGTGTTATTTTCGCAGAGTTCAGGGAAAGTGAGGGCAATTTACCCAAAGATTAGCTTTAAGACACAACCATAGAGCCGGGGTTGGGGGGAGGAGTGGGGCATTACAGGAAAACCAGTAATTGAGGGTAAACAAAATTCAATATTTTATACAAAGAGATGAAATTTTTTCAGCGTAATTAATTCCAATGCTCAGGATCAATTGGGGATTTTCCCAAGACATATGCAATGCATGCTTGATACTTCTTTGAAGTACACCTCTTAAGCATTCTCCAAACTTTTCAGTACAGATACTGCAAATGCAAGGCAATGTGGATAGCAATCACAGCCTCTCTGTATATTCTTCAATGATTCAGCCTCACCCTGTGGCAGATTCCACAAGCACAATTACTATGAATACTAACAATATATAAAAGAATCTAAACATCATCACAAGGGTTCCTCTTCATTTAATAGCATATGGCCTATTGTAAATCTTCAAATCAGATAGAGAATATAGCCTCAACAATCAACATCACAAGATCCATAAACTGAATCTACTAGTTAAGAAGTGCCCAATAATGTTTTAAAAATCGAACTGAATGTTAAACTGAATAGATTAGTGGGTCTCTATTTTTAAGATCTAACCTGTTAGAAAGATGATTGATCGGATGACATAATAATTAAATAAAAAATAATTTTAAGTGTATTCACAATATTATAAAGGGTTAAAGTGTATTTTTACTTCTGTAATTTTTCTCGAGATGCAATTTTATCCTTGTATAATAAATGAGGCAATTTTATCCTTAAATTATTCTTTTGAAGAGCAAAAAAAACTTTCTATAAAATGCTTAGCGCTCCTCAAAAAAATAATTTATGGGTAAAATTATCCAACTTATTAGTACAGAGGTAAAATCACTCATTGAGAACAAATTCAAAAGTAATAATGTACCTTAACCTTTATTATAAATCATAATCTTATAACTTATCAAATATAGATAAATTTTAATTAAACTAAATATAATAAATTAAAAAGTATCTACATTTATACATACACATATAGCTGTCAACAACTTCCTAAAACAATAGTCCCAAATCATATTATATACATGTAAAAGTTCAAAAAATTTTAATAGAGTCTAATGTTTTAATTTTTCCAGTTCTTTTTTTAAAAAAAATTAACCTTTTTTTATATTAGTTTTAGACCCATCCAATTTTTTAAAAATCATTCCAATTTCTCACTCAACTCTAGTTTAGCCCAACTCAACCATGAAAATGGTTTTTTAGTCCAAATTGAGTCTATGGTGGATGGTCCAACATGCCCAACCATCTAATCCATTCTAAAAGCAAAGATGCCAGCAGAACGCACAAGAAGTCCAAATTCTAGTTTTGATCTTGCATATGGAGACTAGTATAGATGCTGAATCCTGATTGCAAAAGAGGTCCAAATTCCAATATCCGAGGGTTCATATTATCTTTACACTACTACATGTGGCAACTGGCAAGTGACAAAATACAATTTGGCAGGAAAAAAAGGGGAAATGTGGAAGCATCGAATAAGAAATTACTCCCTCCAACCTATTTTAGAAACTAATTTTGTTTCTAGATATAAAAGTATCAGGATATTTTTAAGTAATTAAAAAATGTTGTCCCACTCTTGAAAAAAACGAAAAGCTATTAACTGTATGTTTTATTGCCTACTGTCATGATATTAATCGTGACATTAAAAGCAAAACTGGGAAATTGATGTGGTTTTATGTGCTTTCAACTAAATAATAAATTTTTATTGATATACCAGATTTCAGATTTGGTTAAAAAAATCTCATATATAGGGACAGAGGGAGTAGGCATGAAAGTCAATTGAGCAAGAAGAGGACTGCAGGAGTCCAAACTTTCAGCCTTAAATCATCTAAAGCACTATGTGAATCTGTGATGAGCTATGTTCAGTGCTCACTGTTTTCGGCGTCTTCCGGGTCCACGTGTACAAAGAAACTGGCGGCAACAATAAGATAGCATAGAACAAGCATCAAGCCTTTGAAATAATTAGAGGTCCCTTCCTGCAAGGGTGACAGAAATTTGAGGATATTTGTCACGAAACATCAATGAAAGTAGAGAGAAGTAAAACATAACACACTAAAATGATTAACGCCTCAGAATTTAAAAAAGCAATTACTAGTCAAAATGCAATTTCAGAATCCAAGAGATAGCTTACCAATGTTACTGATGACAGCAGACTCTTTAACAAATATCATATTTAAATTAATGCTTTTAGAATAATTGCTTTCAACCATCAATTTTTTTATTGAGCCAGATAAAGACACACACATACACATGTTCAGACTTCACAATCCAAGTTAGATAAAATAATTAAGGCTTCTGATTTTGCAAGCTAGCTTTTCCAAATTCCAAGAAATCATCCATGTGAAGAGTTTTGACAAATGGAAGTTCAACTCCAAAAGAAACCAATAAAGATTAGTCCAATTGATAAGAATTTGACTCATAACCTAATAGGTCATGGGATCAAATCTCACTATCAATGTAAAGATCTTGTAAGTACTTACTCCTTTGTAAGCACTTTTTGACTCTAGAGACATGCCCATCCCCTAGTGAGCCCTTGGAACCTAGCTCACTTAACTTTTGATAATAAAAAAGAAGTATAACTCCAAAAGAAGTGCTTTATGAAGGCTACCAAAATTTGATTGATTTATTTATACATTTTTTACATGTGGATGGAAAAAAAAATTCAAGACAAAGTTACTTTGATGAGTTATTATTAGACCATGATGATGGCTGAATTATTAAAAATTGTTATTACATCTCTCTGGTCCACAGGAGTCTCTTCTGTTCCTCCCTTTCTTCTCTCATCTCTAGAAAAACTTGATTCTATTTCTCCTTTCACTCTACATCAATAAGTTACTTGTGGGCCTGATAAAATGCCTAAGAAGAGTGATAGTTTCCAGCTAGAATGGCTTCAGAGGGACTGGAAAACATTAACAACCAGCATTAGGTGATAGCATTTCAAGGGACAAATAAAAAACTACGTACCTGCAACATAAATGCAACAACAAGCACAGTGATAAAAAGTGTAGCAGTCTCAAAGAGTTGAAAATTCAAGTCCATTGGTTTTCCCATGCACCACCCAACTACCACACAAAAGGGGATCTGCAATTATCAACACCACAGAGATCATCAATCTTGTTCGAAAAATTGAAAAAGTCGACCATATTCTTTCCAAGAAAAAGTGAAGTTCGTTTTTTTTTCCTTTGCAAAATTTAATCTCATAATACAATAACAGTGTAACATCATACCACAAACATAGATATCTGAGTAGATGATCCAATAGCAACTCCAAGGGTAATATCCTGCAGCAAAATTGAAACTATAAATAAATTGAACAGCATCTATAAATTAAAAAGTGGGCATTGGAAGAAACTCACAAGCTTGTCCTTCATGGCAAACATGATAGCACTAGCATGCTCTGCAGCATTTCCTACAATTGGAAGCAATATGACACTAATGAAAGCCACTGGCATATTCCATGACTCAGATGCCCCCTGCAAGAGAGCAAAGCATAACACATCTATGAACAAGCCCAGGACACAATGGCCAAAGACAATGATCAGTGCTCTAAGCTATCAACAATGACAGTGATGCAGCGCATTACAAACAGTCTATACCTATTAAAAATTATCAGTAATCACAAAGCAACTAAATTTAACTTTATGAAAGGTAAACAGTTAGCTGTAGACCACACTAAACTTTAACAGCAGAAGGTTCATCCTACCTACAACTAATGAATTCATGCTATAATCAAAGTAGCAAATACTATGGAACAAACAACAATAGAACACGTTGAATAATCCTCATAGGTTTTTTAAGGAAAATAAAACAGCTCAAACTGATTCTGTGGGAAATCAGATCTAAGAGTCAAAATGCTACCATTCATCTACATGTAACGATAAAGAGAAAATACAATCATCCCAAACACTTCGATGCTAAAGATCAAAGACTTGCACTATCACAACTTTCTAAGAAGCTAGACCATTTATGGCAGCAGCCATAAAGGAACAATGATGATAGTTTTATGACAAAGTTTCCTCCATTTTGTGCTGTGAGAGGTAGACACAACCTTGCTAGAAAGTGAAAATAGTATTGAGGAAAAAATGTCAATATTAAAAAAGAAAATAATTACATACACCAGAACTCAACATTACATGGCATAGAGATTGAGGACCTAAATAATCGAAGCATAATGATTAAGTATCTAAGGTAAATATACCTGTATGGCATCCACAAGGTATCCAGATAAAATAGAAATCCATGCTGTCAAAATAGCAAGCCAGCCTATCGCCTCCCATTTAGTTAATTCACATTCTTCTTCCTCATCAGGATTTTCATTACTATCTCCTTCCTACATTTTAAACAAGTACATTTGCATGAAGTCTTTTACGACTTAAATACTTAGCATCTTTGTTGCCTATCAAACAAAATCTTCACAACAAATAATGAGCAATTTCCAGGTGTAGGAAAGAGGGTGGGAAAAAAACATGTTCCCACTGACAACTCCAACAATATAAACCCATATGCTTTCATCATACATGCATTTCAAAGAACTTAATGATAATGTCTTGAGAGATCCTACTATCTTATAGAATAAAATTTAATCAAAACCTACATCTCACTCACTGCCTTCTTAGTCACTTCTTTTATTTTCCTCCTTTACTTCTTTAGTTTTTAATTTAGTATTCTCCTCTCACCTTGTCACCTTCTCATGGAAGATGGCAACATGCTTAATTAATTTCTATATTTAAATCAAGCAACCAAATAAAACATAAATCCCTCTCTTTTATTCAGGTGTGTCTTGAAAGTAGCACCTGATAAAGATAAATATATCTATCATTCTCTAACCCTATCTAATAATTTGGGTCCCTTGCTAGAAAAATGGCAACTATATTTATAATATTTGTTGAAATGAAAAAAGGAAACTGAACAAAAAAACATGGGCTGTCTTTTTTAAACAAAATAATCTTACATTGTAAAGCTTGACAAGAAGCCAAAAGAACAATTTTATGTCAATAAGAACCAACCTCTTCAACTGAACTATAATTATTGTGATGACTTCTTAGTTGAAAGAAAAGGAAGCCAGCATATGCTATTAGCATTATACAGCTACTAAATCTGGACAGAGAAACCTCTGACTTGCCGAAGTGAACCTCTGAGTGAGTAAAGTGAAGCACCGCAGGAAACAGTATTCCCATCACAGCCATCAATAGCAACCCAGAATTCACAACAGCAGATGCCTGTTGCAAAGGTCAAGTACAATGTGAACTATGGAACGTCAAGAGGAAGAGAACGGCAAAAAAAGGATTTGAAACCGTAAGCATGTCATGACGTCTACCTTGCTGAAAACCTGAACCTTTTGGTAGTGGACAATCCCACCAGTAAAGAATGCACATCCCAGAACAAGAAGCATATTTGACAAGATTGAACCCAGTAAAGATTGTTGTACAACCCTGATCATCCCATTTTTCAAAGCATAAATTGATATGATCATTTCAGTTGCATTGCCAAATGTGGCATTCAGCAAACCCCCAACTGCATACACCACCAAATTTCAAATCAATTGACTTATTGTCAACCAAGTAATCATTTTCAAAGACTCTAAAGAATAGGCACTATTGGCAGCACATTGAATTCTTGATTTCAATACAGTTCATGATGTCTTAGTAAGAACTAAACACAAGTCCATCCAAAACTAGCTCCTATTTATTTTGTCATATATCTGCAAAAATTAGACTATATTTTGTCATATATAGTCTACTCATTTTGCCATACATATTATCCATATATTTGCAAAATTAACTAACAACTAACTATACCTGTTGGTCCTGTAAAAAATGCAAGTTGCCTGCACCAAAAAGATTAATAAATAGGACAGTTAATACTAGTTTGTAATAAAGGTGATGAAGAAATCTAAGTAAACATCAGATTCAATTAAACAGGTCAGTACTTACTCAGTAGCGTAACCCAGACGTTCTGCTAAAGGAGTGATTCCTACTAAGGCGCAGAAGAAAACCCATCCCTAACACATGAAGTAACCATCAAGAAATGAAATAGGAGATAATCAAGCTACAAATAACTATTCGGACATCCTTATACTGATCCCATACCCACCCAGGCGAGGAAGAAGAAGAAGCGAGATTGAGATGGTTAGTAGGTTTTTCAATGCAGATTTCATTCATATTTCAATCAATCTTCCTAACTTCATCACAATTTTGCTTAATAGTACCAAATGCCAACAAGGATGATTGAGAAGTGAATCCATACATGCTTTCCAGTTAGATAATGTAGCAATATGGCCAAGGGACCGAAAGGTAGCAACATGTTGATCTTCGCTTTAATTAAAACAATGTATATGCTCCTGATAGGTCTTATCTCTATTGGCTTGAAGATGGATGAGGTGGCCAATTTCACGGAAGAAAGCACACGAGTTGTCTCAGATTGAAAAGCATAGACTTTCACGGGATTTGTTGAGGAGCTTAAAGGGACCTCCTCATCAAAATCAGGGTCTATCTTCTCTACAGAACCCATCTGCATGCAAAGGCAGTTAACTTGTTAGAATTTCAGCAAATACGTAACAAGAATGATGTTGAATATTTTCTGACACAATCCCATCAGCGAGAAAGCTATATAATTGGGAATATAAACAGCATCCCGGAAAAACAATTTCATAGAAAAAAAAACGCACATGCAGTACATGATTTAGTCTTTCTGAACTTTTGATGGGTTATTAGTTAGGCAGCATAACAGGAGTCTTCAACTTTCCATCTTCACATATTTGCAACCCCATATTACAAACTCGGGAAATCTCAAAAGAATTAAAGCTGCAGTTGATTACGATATGATATGCGTACAGAAAAAGGGGGCCTACTCATAAGGGTATGTATAAAGCATTAAAACCAAGTAAATCAAGACAAAATGCTCAAGACGAAGCGCTATATGAAACAGCACGAGAAGCGAGTCACTGAAATCACAAACTACATCAGTAAACAAGAGTACTAGAGAAAGAGACGGAGACGGGGTTACGTGCGAAAATATACCGGATTTGAAGAGAGAAAATCTTCAGGACGGATCCAACTCTGATGGGAAATACGAGACAAGGAAAGAAATTAGAAGAGGCAAATCCAGTGTGCCCACACAATAGGTCTCTGTCCGCTCTGCTTGCCTTATCTCTCTCATGCCCTATCAGTTAGAGAAGTTGGTGTGAGGATCGTGCCTGCAAGAGAGAGAGTTATACTGAGAGGAGAACGGAAGGGAAGTAGAAGATGGCGGTGAGGCGCTGACATAAGAGAGTACACTTGTACGGCACCCACTTCGTGATATGTCACCTGGGAAGCTTCTTGGAAGCATCGCATCGCCAATCAGAATCTGTTTATATTTACTTAAATTTAATATAGCAAGACTTTAATATTTTTAAATTCCTCCAGCAATTTCTGTGACAAGACAGACACTTGAATGTCGAAAAGTATGAGAACGTGTTATGTTTAGTCCTTAGTGCTAAATCAGTGGGTTGTCATGAAGTTGAAATATTTGACATCAGATAGCCAAGATGACCGGCGACCGGGAGAGATCTTTGCTTGCTTCTTTAATTAGCGGGGGGAAAAAAACTGATTAAAAATTAAATCTACCAAACTACAGGAACTGTCAAAAACACATTTAAATTACATATAAAATGTATTTTTATCAAATTTAACAAATAACTAAATCTCTTAAATATACTTTTGTTAAATATAAATTAAAAACCAAACACATTACGTTTCATATTTTCTGTTGGGATTAAAAAAAAATTATACTCATGTATCCCCTACCTTGTAAGTAAGGAATTTTTTATAAGTTTATTTTATTTTTAAATTTAAAAGGTATCATAATATTTTTAATAATTAAATAATTTTATCGTTGTCTTGAAAAAAAAAGATATTAATTGTGTACTTTACTTACCACTACCACCATGATATTAATTAACATTATTAAAGGTAAAATTAAAAAATTATTGTGATTTGATGTGATTTTAATTAAATAATAAATTTTCATTGATATGTGTAATTCATTTAAGTCATTAATATTATTTAAAAATAAAATAAACTTTTAATTTTTCCTTATTTAAAGGAAAAAGTTTTAAATTTATTTTGTATTCTCTTTTTATAGTTAATGAATTTAAATAGGTATAATATTGAATAAATGTGATTAATACATATCAAGTGTCTTATATTAAAAATAAAAAAAATTTTAAAATACATCCTATAATATATATCAAAGAAAATAACTCATAAAGTAGTAAATTCAAATCTCGCTATAAATATGATGATTTATTATTTTTGTTATTATTTACAGGTGTCCTTTTATTGAAATCAATCTTGTTCAGGACACAATCAGGCATTAAATGTGAGACACTTCTTTTTGAGAATTCAAACCATGATTTATTACATTATGAAAAATTAATTTCTTTCATTAAACTCAACCTCATTGATAATATGAAAACTTTGTATTGAAAATCTATAAATATCTCGATAATCACTTCAAAAACAAACCTTAGATTCCGGAGCTTTCGAAGCTCAATATACTTAAATTTTTACAGAAAAAAAGAAAAGGAATTCCCCAATCCCCAAAAAAGGGGGAAAATAAATAAAATAAAAATCAACAGAATAAAAAATATCCATGAAAAATAGGATTGAAATTATGGAGGTAGAAGTTAAATATCTTAACATGACAAAATGAACGGAGCAATAAGATTTTTTGTGACTTATCTAGCTTTTTATGTTTTGCCAATAATTTTTTAACTTTCTTGGTGGGAATGCATAAAAATAAACTTGTCCTCAAGTACGTATCAAACCAATATCCCTTCAATCTGGTTAATAAATTTTGTAAATATCAAAAAGGTTTAAATCTAAGTTTAGGTAATACAGTTATATATTGTTGTTTTGTGGACGCGATTACCCATGAAAGGTCTCTTTCATTTCATGTATGACTTGGTAACTCGGCCGGTAGGCACAATATAAGTGGGAGAATTAAAAGAGAAACAAGAAGCAGACAATTTATTTTTATTGGTACATACAAGCAAACAAAATTGAATAGCCATTGGCATTTACTTACAATGCATGCACCCCGTATAGCATGGTTCATGCATTCACTTCACAAGTCTTTGCATCCTCACCTAATGAGATAATTACCTCCTTCATTTAAAAATATAAAATATTTTTTTAAAAAAATTAAATATTTAAAAATATAAAACATTTTTAATCTGTCAATATCATAGTCTTTTTTTTTAAGTATCTCTATTGATAATAAATTTATATTTATTATAGGGTGTTTAATAGTAATAAATATAAAAAGATAAGGTTAGTTTGAAATTAAGTAATTACTTTATTGAGGGGTAAAATTTAATTAAAAATGTCTTATATTTTTAAATGGAAAGAATAGAAAATAAGAATTTCTCCTTTTAGTTATTCTAAGGGTGGTTCAACGAAATGATAGGAAAGCAAAATTCTGATAATAATTTGGTTGTAAGACAATGAAGCAAGTGATTTCTTTTTTATCGAATACAGACTTTTTTATTGAAAATAATCAAATTTAATGTATATATAATTAAGTATTATATATAAAAACTTTTTTTTAACTGAGATTCAAATTTTGAATTGTCATTTTATGAGATATTAGCTTTAACTAATAAAAAATTGACTAATATATGCTTATTAAAGTTCTTTTTATTTGTTTTCATTTAAAAAAAAGATTTTTTTTTCTAATTCATCTTTAAAAATATCCAAACTTTGCCAATAAACTATAGCTTAAATATAGTGGCATGATCTCTACGCTGATGTGTGTGTTGTATGCAGTGCGTACATAGGGAAGGGTTTAATACGATACAAAAAAATATCAAACCTTTTATTTTACTTATTACCCAAACTTCCTATATTATTAATTGTAAAATTTTTATTAATATATTTTTAAAAATCATTAGATTTTTTTTAATGAAAAAGGGACAGAAAATTATTTGATTTTTTTTTTTAAGCAGTGTAGGTTTTCTTCTTCTTCTCCTCCTCCTCCTCCTTTTATGAAAGATCAAAGTGAGTTTCTTTTTTTTCCTTTTGCTTTTGAAAATGTATCAAGTTAAGGAAAATGCAGGGAAATTGAACCCTTTTGCAAAGCATTTAACAAATTGAACCCTTCTGAAGAACAAGTCAGAATGTTGAAGCGCGTGGTTAACGTGGCGGCAAAAGTCACTGGTGGAACGACGGGCTTTCGACTTCACTTGGAGGATTTCACGCAAAAGATGCGACATGTCCACGTCACAATTTCAAAATCTTGTACAAAACTGCATAATTTATGGTCAAATTTGACAAATTTTTGGGAAAGAGTTTCAAAACTCAAATTCTGATTATTCAAGTCTCTATACAAAGTTTGCAATGAGTTTTAACTAATTAATAAGGACATCAAACCAACATCCCAAACTCCAATATCATATAGACGGTATTAAAATTTAATTCGGATTGGTCTGAATCAATCCCCTAGTCTTAGGACTTGTATTTTCAAATAACTCACCACCCTACCCTTATATGCAAGTTAAGACTTTTTTACAATAATGATCGGGTTTGTTTGGAAAAGATCTTTTGGTCCAAATGCCCATTTAAATTGAAGTTTTTTTTATAAAAAAAAAGAGCTTTGGGCTTTTGGTTTAAAAAAAATGACAATAAAATCTCTTCCAATCATATAAATAATAATATAATCTCTCAAAATATTATAGTTTTATTGAAATTCCTAAGGATTTCTATGTTAATAATTTTATACTGAAAAGATCATTTTAACTTTATTGACAAATTGTAATTTTTTGTTCAATTTTATAATTCTTTAAATAAAAATTATCATTCTTTAAATAAAAATTGTGATTGAGGTTAGTTATTTTAAAATTTGTTTTTCAATACCAAAAGTTACACTTGATAAGTTATCGATTTTTTGTTCAAATTTTGCGATTCACAAAATAAAATCGTTATTTGTTAAGCAAAAGTTGATTGAGAGTTGTTATTTTAACGCAGAAATTACAATTAATAAGTTGTAATTTTTTATTTAAGTCTTATGATTTACAAAATAAAAGTTGTTATTACATGGGCAAAAGTTATAATTAGAGCTTATTATTTACAATCAGGATAAAATAATCTTTTCACTTTAAAATTTATTGATATAAAAATTTTTAAAAACTTTAATAAAATTATGACATTTCGAATAACCAAACTATCATTTATATAATTCAGGAGAATTTTATTGTCATTTTTCCTTTGGCTTTTGTCTTATAAATCTCATGGACACAATTAATCATGTAATAATTAATATTATCAATTTTTTAAAATTTCATAATTTAATATTTTGTTATTTAGCTAGTATTTTTAAAAAATTATAATTTATTAATTAATTTATCTCTTTGAGAGGTTAATAATTTTTTTTGCTTATTATTAATTTATTTTATGCCTTTATAATTTACAAGATATTTATTATAAAATTTATATTTTTTTCATTATATATCTAAACTTGCTTTTGAATTATATTATCCAAACAAATTTTAAGTTTTTTTTTAATTTATTAAACTAATTTTTTAAGGAAAAAAAATACCCTATCACAAATCATGATTGACTTTTACCTTCCGTCCCTCCTAACTTCAATTTACAAATCTCAATTTATTTTAACTTTAGATTTGTATTCGTAGCCTCTAAAACCAACCAAAGTCAATATTTCGCGAGCTCACTTGCATTGTCAGCAAGATGCTTAATGGCTCTCATTTATAAAATATTAATTTTGCCCGTCATTTAGCCGCCCATCTCGCCAGAAGTGAACTTACCATTATTCTTTTCCTAACAATAATGATCTCAGCTTTTTTTTTTTTTTTAATTAGTGAAACAAGCACTAGCATCTTGAACTTAAAATTATAAGTAGGATTGAACTCGTGACTTTTTGTTCATAAAGAAGCTTAGATCCATTGAATTACTAGACCATTGACAATGATATCAGCCCTTGCATAGCAACGAATCCCGATTTTAGTGATGCAAGCATGTGCCAAATCTATTATTATTCATACTTTCCGTTGAGTACTTCCAAACATTGTTCTTAGAGCTGGGCAATGACTTCCCATCCCACTTTATTGAATAATGCATCATTCATGGTTTCCAAGTTAATTTACAATATAGCATGTTCTGAGCCATGGTGAGTGTGTTCGCAAGCCGTTGGCCACAGCAAAGGTACACTTAACCGTGGCAAAACAATGTAGTGTCCCTAAAATAATTGTTCTATGTTTTCACATATTTTCAATACTCTAATTTCTAAAAATAAAAATATTACATTTTTCCTTCACATATTTTTTGGATTCCAATCTTCCGAGTTGACCTTAACCTTTATTAAATGACTCTAAGCCATGGTTGACCTTTAGGTTAAGAGTTATTAGTTAGTTGGGTCAAATGTAGTTAATAACAAAGTCATTATAGACTAATTCAAATGTTCATGCTTGAATTGTCTTTTAGAATCAACTAAAATGTGCTTGAGATGTGATCCACGCGTGATTCGAGATTGATTCAAGCTTAAATGATTTCAACTCTTAGAAACTTTTAAATTTAACTCAAAGAACTTAAAGTCCAAACAAGTCAAATCAAACTTGTTTTAAAAGAGTGTTAAGTGTGTTTTATCTTATAGGGTGCATATTCTTCAATTCATGCTTGAATATGTACCTACCCACGAGTGTTTCAGCTTATAGAAAAGGTTGGTGCTTCTAATGTTCAAAATTACGCTAAATCCATTATAACCTCACGCTTGAATTAAACTGAAGTAAACCAGACTTTTGCTGCAAAATGCCAATCCTCACGCGTTTTGCATTCTGACAAGAACATTAAATGCTTTGCAAAAATTATGGCTTTTCTACTTTCTTTCTCTTCATATAATCTCTTATAGCTATATTTTAGCTCCTAAACATTTCGGACAGTTTCAACACTCTCAAACTATAAATAGGACTTTATTTAATTAGGTGTGTAACATATTCATTGAGCATTAAATGTTGATGCATACCTACTTTTTGTTAACTTCGTAAAAATATCTCTTAAATGCTTGTAAGTTTTTTTTGTTATTACATTTACTCTTTTAAAAAGAGTTATTGGCATGAAAAGCTTTATTTATTTTTTGATTTAAAATATTTGAAAAAAAAATTTTTAAATGATTGTCATAGCTTACTGGTGTAGTTTTTATGAGTTATATTATAGTGGTAGCACCCAATACAGCTTGTAATTTAGTAGAAAATTTTAAAAGTGATCTCAAGGACTAGACGTAAATTAAGTAATTGGGTTAAATCAAAATAAATTTCTTATGTCAGGCTTTTTCTATCATTAAACTCTCAATTTGTCAAAAACTTTTGTAGTAAATTGATTTTAAAGTGTACTTCATCTTTCTAAATTGGAAAAAGTTTGTGAAAATTTTTTAACACTCAATTCACCCTTTGGAGTGACAACCTTACCCAACACCATTCACCTCCATCAACTATGCTTGACCACATCACTCCTAATAATTTAATAATTATAAAAATAATAATAAATCCTCATTGGGTGCTAGTGATAGGAACACCATGTGAAAGAGGATGTGAATTCATTTTAGTATTTTGAAGTAGGGCTATACAAAAGATTGACCTGATATAATTTCAGCCTAATCTAAAGTCTAGTCTTTTTTATAAAAAGAATTGAATTAAACAATCCATGATTTGGTCTTAGTATAACCCAAAGCCGAACAAGACTAAATTAATCCAGTAGGATTAGAAAACTGGTTCCAATCTTGTCCAGCATCTCACTTTGTTTTTTTTTCTTTTTTTATCTATAAGAGGTGGCAATTTATTTAAACATAATAAACTCAATTAACAAAATAAAATTAATTACAGTCATAAAATTCATCACAACAACAACAATTATAAATCGACAACAATAAAAAGTATTTCAGTTACAATGCTAATAATTTAAATTAAACTACCTTCAACAACATTAAACAATATTAATATGTCTAAAATTCATTGCACCAAATTAACAATAAATTCACCAATAAAAGGAGAAGATTGAGATTGGTTAATACTAAAATTTTGCTAAATATTCATGATTTCACAAGTATAAAATACAAAAAAATATTAATTATTATTATAAATTAACTTATTGTAATAATAGTTAATAAATTAATTATAATTATATTAAATAAATTTATAGGATGAACCGGACCAACTAGTCCAGATACTCAGTCTCTTGTCCGATCTAATTCGAAGAAAGAGTCTAATATTTTTGGTCTTTTTAATTTTAAAAGATTAATTTTTATCCAAACCAAACGGGACCAAACTTATCTCAGGTTGGACGAGACCAAACTAAATTGAAGAATTTTAACATAGCCCTATTCTGAAGGAGGAGGAGGAGGTTGGCTTCTCTCCTTTAAGCCTTCCCTCCACTCCTCCTTCTTTGCATCACACGACAAGATCTAAATAGTCCAAATTTAATCGACCAATCTAATTTTAAAGCTTTTTTATTTTTTATATATTTATTAAAATAAAAATTCATAAAAATTATTAAAAAATTTAAGAATTCTGCTAGATCACCAATCAACCAATTCAAATTTAATGTAAATGATGCAATTTTAAAACTAAATTAAAATGGCCAAATTAAATATATACCATTCAAATTGATCACAAACAAAATTATTAAAAAAATTTATAATTATTATAGATTTTTATTTTTAATAAATATAAAATAAAAAATTTAAATATAAACGTCTAAATCTTGGCATGTAGTGCAAAGAACGGCAAGAGATGCAGAGCAGGGGTAATGGAGGATCAAAGGAGCCAAGCCAACCTAAGTAAGGGAGGAGGGGGGAAGGTGGGGGAGAGAGAGAGAAGGGAAAGATCAGAAGGGTCAAATAACATTTTAGTATATTCACTAAAAATCTTATTTCTATTCTAGTCCCCAAAAACCTTATAGCTATTTGTGTATTTGGTGGGATTTTAAAACAATTAAAATGCTAACAAAGGACTTCAAACTGATTTTTCCAAAAATGGGAACATTTTGTTGAACCTATAGATAATTTATAGAAAAGCATTGCTTACGTGCTTAATCTTATATACTTAATACACTTTTATTCAATTAAATTAAAACAAATAAATTTTAATATATTAATAATATTGATAACTGTAATTTGTTAAAAATAAATAATACATGAAAGATATAAATATCTTGCTTTAATTTGAAACAAGCAATATATGAGAAATATATGATTGGCAAAGTAATTGGATCAATGAATATTGAATATGCATCTCACACCTCTCTACACTTCCATTCAATCGAATAATGGCATGTGGGAGACGACTACATTTTCAGGAACAACCAGATTTGGCAATTACTGTCAAGTGAATATAATCACTGAGCAGGGCCATAATCAGACCTTACCAACAGAATATTTGGTAACATAATAAAAAGCGAGGAACCAGATTTCAATTTTGGTATCTTTGCCATCCATTAAGATAAAAAGCGAGCCAAAAATGAGAATGAGGAACAAATTCGATGCCATGATGTGCTTCTAAAAGGAGAATCTCTTGCTGAAAAAGGTTACTCAAAAGACACTTAACTTTAACTAACAGTGGTCCATACCATTGGCAATAATAAATATGATTCATATCTCATAAGAGCAAAGGTTCAAATCTCATAATCAATAAGGAAATATTGCTAACAGATAAATTGTTAAACATTTCTACAAGTGCGCTCTGAGCCATGAGGCCTGTTTTGACCCTAATAAACCTATAAAATTTATTAACCAAAGCATTAAAAAACAGAAAAGGTCCAAGTGAGATGTTAAAAATACTTTGTTGGTGCTTTGCATCACCGTTGCAGCAATCTATCACCACCAAAGAAACTCTTTGCAAGTTAAGAATCAACTTTAATTAGTGACCTTTAAAGCATGACATTAATTGAATACTGTAAAAAAAACTTAAATGTTCAAAAAAGCATGCACTCCAAAGAATTTCTGTAATGCAATGAACCCAATGGGATAACAATCGGAAGTTGGTAAGTATCCTTCACACTCACCATTATACAGACCATCACATTAGTTACGAAGCTCCTCAAAACTGCAGATAGCCACCTGAAAATGCCACACTAATCCCTCTCCCTCCCATTCTTGCCTAGTTATATTATACTTCCTCATTTTTATTTGTAGAAGAAAAAAATTGTATTATATAATTTAAGAAAATCAATTAACTATATAAATTGTGTTTGAAAACAAAAAATAGATTAAAATACCTTTCATTAATTGTTTCTTGTGATTGTGGATAATGAGGATAATGAACTTATGAAAGGTAATTCAAGCAATTTATAACAAATGTCAATTGAAAATTATGATTTTGCTTATATAAAAAAAAAAAAAAACTAAAGGTAACAGTTCTCCTTAAGTAGTTTATAGCAGCTTAATTTGTCCCTTCTTTGACTATATGTATCAATCGTCTCACTAGGTTTAAGGACAAAACCAAGTGATAATCACATTATGAAATATGCACAATCACATTTCCGTACACAGTGAATGCAAGTAAGAGACTGACAGTCGTGTGTTATAGGTTATGGTGAAAGCAAACTATCGACCAATTACGGCCCCAAAAGATTCATATTTGGTCCTGTTCAAAACCCACCCATCTATAATCCATAGTCAACAACAGATAAAGATGTTATTTTCTAACCTGTAATTGAACACATAGAACTAAAAGAATGCGGTGATATTTGAGCGATTCAATACAGATTTTTTCTCTTGCCAGGTGAAAATCAACAACAAAAATTTGAGTTGATTAGAATCAGAGGGACGCGCTCCATTTCCCAATTTTTTTCCGAACAAATCGAGTCCGAACACATCTAATGGGGAAAAATTACATGAAGTGATATATCATTAGGTGGAAGAACAAGAGCAAAATATTGGAGGGGAAAAGAGTAAAGAGGAACCAGAAAAAACGGAGGACTAGGAAGGCGGAGGTAGAAGTTGATAAAGATTCTGATGAACTTGGTTCTGGTGTCCTGTTCCCTGAGCTATAAATGGGTGCATCAACAAGCGCGAAGCCGTCCACCTCCGCGAGGGATCTCTCTGTAAACAGCGCGATATAAAATCCCGGAACTCCATCGACGCCGTCGGCGGCGCCTCCGGTGGTTGAGACATACAAATTGCGCACATCAAGCTTGCCCAATCTCCTTGCCTTCCCACCGGGAATGGGAATTTTCCCATGTAGAATTCTAATATACTCACTCCAAGGCTCCATATATCTCCCGCATACGCATCATATTGCCCATCATTGATGTCTGTATTGATTCTCTCAGGGCTCATATAAGCGATTGTACCCACCGATGAATTACACGGATCCATAGTTTGTGCCAGAATTCGACCCACACCGAAATCAGCAATCTTGACCTGCTTCTGCGAATTGATTAACAGGTTCGAGGGCTTGATATCTCTATGGACGATATGGCGGCGGTGGAGGTAGGCCAGGCCACGGAGGATCTGGCGTGCTACGTCCGCCAGGTATTGTTCATTGGGGATGCGTTTCCCTTCCAAGGAGCCACAGTCCATGAACTCGAGAAGTACCTGGATTTCGCCGCTATGATCGTACATGTCATGGCACTTGACAACGTTCTGGTCATTCACGTCTCGGAGGATCTGAATTTCTCGATGGATCTGACGGCGCACGGATTCCTCGTGGGTACCGTATATAACCTTAAGCGCGTAAAAACGACCAGTGAGTCGGTGACGGACCTTATACACGGTGCCTCCGCTGCCGCTACCAATCCGATTGAGGCGCTCGAGCTCAACGAATGGCACCTGCTGCTGAGATTGACATGACCCCGAAACCAATTGGTGACTACTCGACCTTCCCGTGCTGGACGGCGGCAGAGGAAGCGGCATCGCTAAAGATGAGTCCCGCTGCGGCAACGGCAAGCTCAGATGCTTCCGTCGGCGCGGCTTCTCCTGATTGGCCGTTCCGGTGCCCTGCGACAGCTGAGTCGGTCTCATGACAGGCTCGGCGGTGAACAGTATCAGATTCCGATTATTGGTTTCATCAAAAAAGGGAAAAAAAAATCGAAAACAGTGCTTTCAAATGATCACATGTGGAGAGGCATCAGAATCATGCGGCTCATGATTTGAGTTGGGGAAAGAGGAAACGGGAGACAGAGGAACAGGAGGAGGCGAATGAGATGTGAGGAATTGTGGGGAATTTGGATTTTAACGTCACGCTCTGCGAGGTTTCGTGAGGAGCGTGGCCAATGGGGTTGAAGGTGCACCCTCTCTCACTCCACATTGTCTTGGTGGGAGCTGCGTGTCATTTCCTCAGCATCGGCCATCCCGGCCCCAACTTTGATTTTTTTTTTCTTTTTTTTTTTTTTACAATTGATTTACTGCCCCACCCTCTCCTTCAATCTAGATCCTTCCCATCCCATCCCTTCCCTTTACCACATATTTTATTCGGGAAAAAAACACACACACACATTTTGCTACTTATAGTATTACTGTAGTTTATTGTTTGTGTCGATATTTTTTCCAATGTTCCATATCTTTCTAATTTTTTTCGTCTACAAAATTAATCATTGTACTTTTAAGCATAGTCATAGAGATAATGATGTAGCACAAATAATAGCATTAAATTATTTGATATGTAACAAATAACATTAATAGGGATGGAGACAGACCCAGAATAATGAACACGATGAGAAAATTTTCAAATAAGATGAAACATAGGGGCCAAAATCAATTTTATCAATTTTATAAAGAAAATTTTTATAATTTTCAAATGTAGGTAAAAATTTCGCATACCCCTATAGATTTGTCCTTAAATGAGGATGCTAACATGTTTAAACTCATATTTAAACACAATGAGTGGGCGTTTGAATTAACAAGAGATAAAAAAAGGCCATTGCTTTCTAACGAAGACATTTTTGACGGTAGCATTTGGTGACGTTGAAAAGTAATTTCCAGTCATTCTGGGTCAACTTTAATTTAACATCATTTGCCGCATCATCGTTCCTATTAGGATATTTAAAAATAAATAAAATAATAATAGAAAAAACTCTAAGGATGTAGAAGATTGAAAAAAAAAAAAAAATTCAAGGGCAAATGGCAAAACATGATAAAAACTATATTGACCAATAGTCGTGGTTCTCCTATTTTATTTTATTTTATTTGTTATCATTACTATTAATCATAAGGCATCTTTTAAAAGTGCTATTTGATCTAAAATATAAAATATTAAATATTTTTATAATTTTTTTTATCCATATCCTACTTCATTCATTACATTTCTTGAAAAAATATGTGCATTAGCATTTATGTTGTCACTGTTATGATACTTATATATATAATATTTAAAGAAGCTATAATTCACAAAAATATAAGTTTTAAAAGATTAAAGTTCCACCTAACTTCTTTTTAAAATTATAAAATAATTATCAATACATTATATTATATTATGATTTAGAAGAAGTATATTAAAAGTTTCAATCTATCAAAAATCGAGCTAATTATTAAATCAGTTAAATAGTTCAAGTATTAATATTTAAAATTGTAATTGAATTACAGTAAAACTGATCATAAATAAATTATTTTATTCAAACCATGGGACACTAATCTAAAAATTTATTGATTTGAATTGACGGAATGCTTGGGAAAGCTCATGGGTTTTGCCTTTAAATAATTTTTTAACCAGAGAAATTGCAAATTCAGAGCTGGCGCGTGATTCCAAAACAGGCAGGTAGTCCAAAAGTGTACAAGAATGTACGTTTAATTTTCTTTGACTTTATCAGCTCAAATGTTTTCTATCCTTTTTTCTTTTTTCTTTTTTGTTTTTTCTTTTCTTTTCTTTTTTTTTTGGCTAACACATGATTTCTTTTCTTCATCGTCTTTGGGTCTGGCTCGATCCATCAAATTCCCTTGGGCCTATTAATAATCCAAATATTTCTCATGTAACCTTGCACCATGGCTTGGAGGACATTGTTTAAATAAATTGAGGAAAATTTTATTAGACTAACTTGTTTTTTTAGTTGCACAAGATATCCTCACGGTCAATAACAGTGTGACTAATTTCTTGAATAATCTGAATATCATTTAAGGAGTTGTTCTTTTAAAGTAATATTTTTTTCCTACATACCTTCAGAAATTAAATTCTAAAATGATATTTTAAGAGCTTAGATTGCTATCATTCATACTATATACACTTAGTTTGATTGACTTGTTTTGACTTACCAATAGAATTTTTTTTTTTGTGAAACCCGACCAAAGTTAAGATCTACCAAAAGGAAAAAGGTGAGGTGGATTGTCAACGTATGAAAATCAAAATACGGAGGTTTAGACTTCTTGTGGAAAAGCCATTACTAGTATCATACCATTATCATGTTATGATACTTTCATGCTACTTTACAGCAGTCATTATCCATGAAAATTAGTACCTCCTTCCATCTAAGATTGAGGACATTCAAGCTCGTGCCGTCCACCAATATACCAGTACTATCTTCATTTGAATTTATAAAAATACTTTTAAATAAAATCATACATATTGATAAAATTTATTAAATACACTTTATAATCTTATCTTTTCAAAACATAAACATAAACATTTAAAAATATCCTTCATCTATTATTCCATTTGTAAAAAAATATTAAAGAGAGAAAATATAAAAAGAGTAATATTAAAAAAATATAATTAATGAAACATTATTTTTGTCAAAATATATTACATTTTAAAACACCAAATCTCTTCTAAAAATATTTTAAAATTTGGATAAAAGTAATACTCTCTCCATTCAAAAATTTAAAGTATTTTTAACCGAATCTCATCTCAAATAAAGTAATTACTTTCTTTAAACTAATTCTAACTTTTCATATTTATTCCTATTTAATATGGTATATCATCCTAGAATAAATATAAAATGATTTATTTAATAGAGGAACTTTTCAAAGGAAATAAAAGTAATTATTACATCTTGAAAAATTAAAAATGCATTATATTTTATAATATCTAACTCCTTAAAAAATACCTTACATTTTTTAATAGAGTAAATAATAAGTAAAGTCTCACACCCACACATATAAGAAGATGAATTACAAATATGGGATTGGTTCTAAACTCTTTCCAATAGGCGTGCCGTCTAGTTTTCTTTTATACATGAAAAATATAAAATCAAAACGGCTAAGAGTTGTCTTGGAACTAAAAGCATTTGTTCTACACTAAGCACATGGTTGATAAAAAAAAAAAAATTCTACAACTTAATTAGAAGTTTTGAATTCAAGTCCTAAAGCATTAATATCTTGGGGAAGAGTTTGCTATCCGGAAGGGTTTCACTAGTGCTCAATCCAGATTGGATTGAGCCCCTTTAAGCTGCTCGAATCCGGTAAGCTTCTTATGCGGGGGTGCAGTATGTGGGGCAAAACAAACATTTGTTTCACTTGAGTTTTAAAAGCGTGGGGTTCAAGAGTTTTTGTTCTCTTTCTTTTTCTTTTTTGAAAGTATGCCAATTAAAGATTTTATAAGAAGATTAACACCAAATCAATTTTTTTTTAAAAAAAATTGAATGCTAAAATAGAAGAAAATAAATATTCAATTTGACAACTTAAATTATAATGGATTTTTAATTTAATATTATTTTTTTATTAGTTACTTGGTTATCATTTTCCCTTTTCCCTGCTTTTATTTTATCTTTTCTTTTCCGGGTTAAATGTGAGGTAAAAGCTTTGAAAGCCAGACAGTTTAGTTTAGCTACATGACACGTCCTCACCTTCTACTTCCCCAATCTTGTTCAGAGGCATAATTTCCAAGGCTCACATCATTCCAATGGACAATTCGAAATCTACAGAGAACTCAAATCCTTGACAAAACAAACCACTCCTCTCCCTCCCTCCCTCTCCCTCCCTAGCTGTGGGAAAGAACCACTACCAACATCTCTGAAACACCAAGAACACGAGAAAATTTGATGGCCAGACCCACCAGCATCTGGTTGCATTATGTCGCCTTTTTCTTGTTTTATAGCACAATCTTTTACTGCAACGCACAGACGCAGCCACCGCAAGGTACCCAAAAAACTCATTTCATTTTCTGCATCTCTTCTTTGTTGCTTTTCTGGGAGAGAAACCAATGATTCTTTCTTTCATGATTATTCTTTGGTCATCAGAACCAAATTACATGAGGTTCGTGCTCAACGCCAGCGAAATGCCCTCTGAAGATAGTTACGATTATATCATTGTCGGCGGCGGAACCGCCGGTTGCCCGTTGGCGGCGACATTGTCTCCTATGTTTCGAGTTCTCGTGCTTGAACGTGGAGGTGTTGGCTATGGCAAACTCAACTTGATGACTCAAGAAGGGTTCTTGACCACCCTCATGGAGAATCCCCACACTTATGATTCACCTGTACAATCTTTCACTTCTGGAGATGGCGTCTCGAATGCTCGGGGACGAGTTCTTGGCGGAAGCAGCGCCATCAACGCCGGCTTCTACAGCCGTGCTGACGAAGATTTCTTCAGAAGATCAGGTCTAGCTTGGGACCTCAAGCTCGTGAATGAATCATACGAATGGGTTGAGAACCAAATCGTGTTCAAACCAGTGATCAAGACTTGGCAATCTGCGGTTCGTGATGGGTTGATCGAATCAGGGGTTGGCCCCTATAATGGATTCAGTTTAGATCACAAAATCGGAACCAAAATCGGTGGCTCAACGTTTGATCCCACCGGAAAAAGACACAGTGCGGCGGACCTGTTAACTCATGCCAGAGCACGCAATATCAGAGTAGCTATATATGCGAACGTAGAGAGAATCCTTCTTGCTTCAGAAACTTCAACTTCGAAACAATCCGCAATTGGGGTTGTGTATCGTGATCAAATTGGAATTTACCATCACGCAATATTACGCGAACATGGAGAAGTAATTCTCAGTGCAGGCGCCATTGGAACACCTCAGCTTCTTCTTCTGAGTGGAATCGGTCCAAGGCCTTATCTATCTTCTTGGGGCATTCCAGTATCTCATCATCTTCCTTATGTTGGACAGTTTCTCTACGATAATCCACGAAACAGTATCAGCATCGTGCCTTCAATCCCACTCGAGCATTCTCTCATACAGGTTGTGGGCATTACAGATTCAGGAGCATATATCGAAGCAGCTTCGAACGTGATTCCATTTACATCCCCCCATCGTTCTGCTTTTATCAGAACACCATCGTTGCCGCTTTACCTCACGGTGGCGACCCTCATTGCGAAGACCACAGGTCCGGTGTCAAGTGGATTTCTGAGACTGGCTTCGACAGACGTGAGGGTGAACCCCATAGTTAGATTCAATTACTTCAACAAGGCGATCGACGTTGAACGGTGTGTGAACGGGACGAGGAAGATTGGGCAGATTCTGAGAACCAGAGCGTTCGATGGTTTCAAATTCGGGAACTGGTTATGGGGATCAGAGTTCAGATTCGTGGGGCCGGCGATGCCTGTGAACCAGATGAACTACGGGGAGATGGCGGGTTTCTGTCGCCGGACGGTGAACACCATATGGCATTATCACGGCGGTTGTGTGGTGGGGAGGGTGGTGGACCCTACACTTAGGGTCATCGGCGTTGCTTCGCTTCGTGTTGTGGATGGTTCCGTCTTCAGTGTATCGCCAGGCACAAATCCTCAAGCCACCATCATGATGCTTGGAAGGTACATTCGCGTTGTGAAATATATTTTTATACAGAACAAATAAATAAATTATCAATATAATATATTAAATGGAATTAAAATTTAAATAACTGTCCATTCAATTTTTATTGTTTTTTTATTTTGGGATTGCATATGTGTTTTTTTAATAAAAAAAACGGCATTCATATATTTACCCAGGCTGAGCTTCTCGAATTGATTGGAATGTATTGTTTTAATGTCTATTCGTTTGATGGAGATCAAACAAATCAATGATAATTAATTAAATCAACATGTTTTTTAAAATTTTATATAAGAAATAATTTTTATTAATTTTCTTACTCATTTTTCATCGGCTTTGATTGATTTTTAATTAAACCAGTTTTTTTTAAGGAGAAAACATTTCAAAGTAAAATTCAATTTGTGAATTTACTAGTTGAATGGACCTGAATAGAGTTCGAATATGTTAAAATTTTGAAGCATGATATGAAAATGACATGGCTGTGTTTCAATTGGTGCTAGATACATGGGGAGGAAGGTGATCAAAGAAAGAGCGAGAATACCCAAAAGCAAATAAATGTTGCTAATTGACTTGCTCTAAGAGTCAAGTTATTTTGTTGGCACATTCCATTGTAGGATATAGAAGAACGTCCATTGATTTAGACAACGTTGTTCTTTTCAATGTGGTTGTTGTTTCCATACCCTTTGATTCAAAATATTTTCAACACATGATGTATTGTACATAAAAATAGAATACTGAGAGAAACGTGAAGATGGTTCAATGTATCATTTCTTTTGCATGTTCAGATTGCTTCTTACTGCATACAGCGAAAACATAGATATATGTTGAAGCTATAAATTAGGCTTTTCTTTGGTCTTCATATACTGTTAATGGGTTTTTTTTTTTTCAATTGTATAAAACTCTGCCTACACACCACACCTCCTACTATATGAGCATCCATTGTCCAGTATCACTAAAGATTTCTGACCAATAGAAGCTGATTAATATTGGCAACAGATTAGTCCATCACCTACAAGATCATTGGTTTAAATTTCAAAATCAATCTCACAATCTATGTGAGAATTTTGTTAATAGACAATATGTAAGTGTCTGTATAAGTACTTTTTAAATATGAAAACATGTTTTAATTTTGATAAACTCCTAAAATCCAGCTCATTTAAACTTTTGTTTCTAAAAATTCTTGTGTGAATAATGAAAAGAGAAAGGAAGAAAAAATTAACTTTGGTTCAAGCTCCTAAAGCAAAGAATTGGTAAATAATGTTGATCCTTTGAATTAATTATTAATATTTTTATTTTTTAAAAAATAAATGACTTTAAATTTGAAACTCACCTTATGAGAGAGCTTTTAGAGGAGAAAAAAATATTAGACTTAAATTTCGTCTAGAATTTTAAATTATTATTATTATTAATTAGTTTTTTATAATTTTTATATATATTATTTTAGATATGTATATTGATTATTGCTCAGTTGAAATTCACTTTGAGAGAGAGAGTTTTAAAAGAAAATTAAAAAAAATAGATTAAAGTTGAATTCCTTTCATTTTATTAGTAAATCACACTGTCATTCCTCGTAGCTAATAGATAAGTTGGAGTTGAGTAATGAGTTGTATTATTTATGGTCTATGAATAATTTGGTTTCTTATAAATTTTATTTTATATATATTAATTATTTATATAATCAAATGACATTGAAATGTTGGAGGGATTAAAAATGAAAATTAAATAACTAAAGTCAAAAGTAAAATTAGAATTAGAATTAAAAAAAATCTGAAAAGGAAATTAAAGAAAAATCCAAAATTAAAAGAACAAATATTTAAAAAAAAAACAGGGGCTGTGTCATTGCCTTTCATATTATATGTGAATATATGATTAATTTATAGAGAAAATGATAGAAAAATATCTCAAAATATATAAATGACAATCAGGTACCATAATGATTGTTTCTTAATCCATGGAAACTTTCTAACATTTTTTAATAAAATGGCATTTTTTCATGTTTTAAAATTTATTTGTAAAGTCGGACAATTAAAAATTAATTATTACTTTATTTTGGAAAATGATTAGTTTTGTTGGGGAAATGACTAGAACAAATAGCAAATTACAAGTTATTTTTTGTAAATATTTTTATCAGTGAAGTTTAACAGTTAAAATCAGTTAATACTTTCTTTTGAAAAATGATTAGTTTTTTTGAAAAAATGACTAGAATGAAATAGCAAATTACAAATTCTTTTGAGTAGATATTTTTATCAATAAAGTCCAGCAACTAAAAAATAGTTACTACTTTCTTATGGGAAATGAGAAGTTTTTTTTTTAAAGAAACGACTAGAACGAAATAAAAAATTACAAGTTACTTGCAAATATTTTTATCACTAAAGTCCAACAACTAAAAATCAATTACTATTTTCTTTTGAAAAATGATTAATTTTCTTAAAAAAATAACTAGAACGAAATAAAAAAGTGACAAGTTGTTCTTTATAAAATTTTTATTAGTGAAATCCAACCATTAAAAATTAGTTACTATTTTTATTTTTTTTAGAAATGATTGGTTTTTTAGGAAAAATTACTAGAATGGAATATCAAATTATTTTAAAAATTTTAAAATTTTATTGTCAGGTAACACAAGGCCTGATATGCCCAAGCCCAACCAAGCATTGGGTCATCCTAGGTAAAGTAATGCCTGACCTACAAAAGATATACAATGGGCTCCACTTTGTTTTGACTTTTGTTGCAAAGAAGCAAAGCAGCCATTCTCATAAGGCGCTGAAGACAACGTGCATTCAATCTCATTGAAAGCTCACTTCTTGTGATGGACTTATGCAGGGTGCGTATGACAAATGGAGAAGAGGCTTTACAAGAAAATTGGAATACTTTCCTAATAGAATCACTGAAATTGGAAGGGTAGGACAAGTGTGGGCATCAAGTGTTTGAGACGATTGGCAAGGATTTTAGTTACAAGTTTTAAGTCACAGTGCACAAACTAGTAGGTCTGGAATTTCTTGATGGCGGTGGTCTTGGCAACTTTTGGGATTAAGGAAATGAACGTATTATTGAGACCAAGTTCCATAGCTTCTCCATTAAAAATGTTACTAACCATATAAAATATAGAGAGTCTCCGACAATATCCTATTGATTCTGGAAAAAAAAAATGCATGTAGACCATTGAGCCCAAGGGCTTTTAAAGGCTTCATTTTGAATAGAGCCTTTTTAACTTCTTCAAGAGCGATGTCAGCATTTAAAATGTCAAAGGAGCAAATAGAGATGGTTGGAAACATACCTGGGTGCAAGTATGGGCAGTTTGCAACTGGAGGAGTTGAGTTTAGATTGATAAAGTATTTTTGTGCCAACGGTTTCACGTCCTTCCTCATTAACTGAGAAGATTTTGCTTCATGATCAGCGAATTTAGGGTTTGGTGTGGTAATAGGAGATGCTATGATCACCAAGATTGATCCAAGCACTCCTGAATTTCTAGATCCAAAGTAATTCTTGCTGACATGTTTTTTTTCACATACCAAAGACTCTCTTCTTTATTACATTTGAACATTTTTGGTTCAAATTTTTTTTATTTTTTTTATTTTGAAGGGAGAGGAGGGAGGGGAGGGGAGTTGCTCCTTTCTCTTTTTTTTGTCAACAAAAGGAAGAAAAGGAAACCTCTTGTTTGGTTAAAAAATTGGAGGAGACTCCCACTCCTCCCCTTTAATTTGGTTTTTTTTAGGGGAGAGGAGTAAGAAAATAATTAAGACTAATTTAATCACTTATTATTTTAAAAATCCTAAATTACTCTTGATATTAAAAAATTATACATTATCTCTCTCTCTCCCTCTCTTATAAAAAAATAAATTTTATCACCTTACAAAAATTGATATATAATTTTTTAATTTCTAAAATTTTAAAAAAAATTCATTAGACACACTTATAAAGTATAATATTAATGTATTTGTTCTGCAATTTTTTTATTAATATAAGTTCATATTCTTAAAATAAAAAATTAATAAATTATAATATAATTTTTTAATAATAAATAAAAGAAAAAAATTAAGTTAAATTTAATAGGAATAAAATTGTTAAGTTATTTTTAATTCCTCTCCTCTCCTTGTCTAAACCAAATAAAGGTTTATTAAAATCTTTTCCCTCCCTCCCTAAAATCCCTCTCCTCCTATTCCCTTCCCTTCATCTGAACCAAACACACCTTTTAAAAAAAGTTTATCAATCAGGCCCGTGAAATTGTAGAAGATATAAGAGAGGTGATCATGAGATTTGAAGGTTCTCTAAGACTATATTTTTAAATAAGTCAATACCTATGCTGATTAAGTTGCAAGCAATACGCATGTTTTTGATCATCAGATAGGTGTGTTCTTATGGAACCTTTCATGGAATTAGAATACTTAGTTATTACAGGATATGATTTTTGTTTTTTCAATGAATTCACCCATATAGGTTGATCCTTGTTGTTTTCTTCTGTAGATTTTTTGTCAGATATTGTATTAAAAAATATCACTTCTTTTTATCTATAATATCTGAAATTGAAAAGCTCACTTCTTTTTATCTATATTATCTGGTATCTGATATCTCTATTTACTTTTCTCAAGGTTATTTTAAAAAAGCCAAATTCCCCTTCTTCTAATCTTGTTGATCTGATTCACCTCTCCCTTGTCTCTTCTTTCCCAACTAAAAAACAAAAATTTGTACCCCTTGTTCATTTGGATAAAAGAAATCTGTGCCCTCCAAATACAAGAGTTTAAATTCACTTTGGATCGTATCCAATCAAACTCACCCATTTTGGCGTATTTTTTATTTATTTCATTTAAGATATGGTTATTTTAGTTTAATTTTAAAGTCAGGTTGATTTAACTTGATTGGAGTCATGCTAAAATGAGGCTTCTCTTAGAAGAAAACATTAAAATTAAAATTATGGGTTAAATGGTGATTTGCCTTGAAAGTTTCTTGGTCAGGTGTTTGACACTGTGTTATCTAGAAAGTCTAAAAAATAATGCAACGTTGTTTTATAGCGGCACCTGACCAATACTGACTATTATTTTAAGGGTTAAAGGGTAATTTTGTTTAATAAGTTTGTCCAATGGAGCAATTAGTATTCTAAACTTTTGATTGATGCAATATTTTTAGATTATTAGTTTACAAATTAGAAAGAAGATTCAACAACCTATGATAACCTAAAATTAGAAGATGATTTCAAGTTGAATTAAATTGAATGCCTGTAAATCAAAATTTAGGTTAGTCCATGTTGCCTATGGACAAATCTAAACAAGCCTGTATTTGCGTGCGATTAAGCCAGTGCAAACCAAGACCTACTCATAGACACGTGTCTAAACTTGCTCATAGGCAAAGCAAGGTCAAGTCTGGGCTTCGCTCAAAGGAAAGTTCATGAAGCACTTGAGCAGCATTGGTATTGAACTTTGCACCCAAGCAAACTTAGCTTGTTTTACACCCATTTTTTAATATTAATAATGAATTGTTAGATTTTTTTTAATATTGATAACTTAAAATATTAGACAAGTCAATATTAATAGAGATGCTTGTAGAACTCTCATTCTTGATGATCAAGGTAATTGAATAAAATGTTTTTTTTTTGAATACCTTGGCTATTATCCCAACACTATTGGTAAGCCTTTAAGCATTTTTGAGGGTTTTAATCTTTGTTGGAGGAATACGTCCACCAAAATTGTGTCTACTTTGACTCTTTTAAAGCTTCCATGCTTATTCAGTGTGACCTCATCACAAATCATCCCCTTATT